ACCATACTCACGTCACACTCAAACACCACACATTCACCAAACACACACACCACACTCATACACCACACACACCACACACACCACACTCATACACCACACACGCACCAAACACACACATACCACACTCATATACCGCACACGCACCAAACACACACACACCACCCTCATATGCCACACACGCGCCACACACACACACTCACACACCACACTCATACACCACACATGCACCAAACACACACACACCACACTTGACACCACACACGCACCTAACACACACACACCACACTTGACACCACACACGCACCTAACACACACACACCACACTCATACATCACACACGCACCAAACACACACACACCACCCTCATACGCCACACACGCACCACACACACACACACACCACACTCATACACCACACATGCACCAAACAGACACACATCACACACGCACCATACTCACGTCACACTCAAACACCACACATTCACCAAACACACACACCACACTCATACACCACACACACCACACACACCACACTCACCCACCACACACACACCACACTCATACACCACACACGCACCACACACACCACACTCATACACAACACACAACACACACACCAAACACGCACACTCATACACCACACACTCCACACTCACCACACACACCACACACCACACTCATACACCACACACACCACACTCATACACCACACACACCACACTCATACACCACACACACCACACACACCACACACACACACCACACACACACCACACTCATACACCACACACGCACCACACACACCACACTCATACACAACACACAACACACACACCACACACGCACCACACTCATACACCACACACGCACCACACTCATACACCAAACACGCACACTCATACACCACACACTCCACACTCACCACACACACCACACACCACACTCATACACCACACACACCACACTCATACACCACACACACCACACATACACCACACACACACCACACTCACCACACACACCACACTCATCACATACACCACACACCACACTCACACACCACACACGCACCACACTCATACAGCACACACACCACACACACCACACTCATACACCACACACAGCACACACACCACACTCATACACCACACACACCACACACACCACAATCATACACCACACACACCACACTCATACACCACACACAC